TCTTCACGTCGATTTAGAGACAATATTTGGCTATTCAAGCAAATTGAGGTCGTCGGTTTTACTGGGGACGGTCCCCAGTAACCCAAAAGTTACTGGGGACCGGTCCCCAGTGTCCCCAGTGGTGGTTACGCGCCTGAGTCACTCAGAAATACAGAGGTCATGCAACGAGAGAAAACAATTATTGTAGGTACCAAAATTTACGGTGTAAGTAATGTGTGTGTGTGTGTGTTTTTTTTTTTTGCTAGCAATAGATATGAATGAAATGATTCAAACTATGTGCACTAAACTGCCAAATTTATGATGATGAGATGCTCTCTGCAGTGCAGTTGAGATGCAGCGTGAATGACTATTGACTATGTTATATTTTCTCTTTAGATATTTAGACTGCCGAATTGGAGCGCCAAAACTGTTCGTCTTTACGTTGATTTGAATATGACAAGTACATATTTAGATCGATATGATCAGTCACATCAGATTTCCCTGAAGCATGCTGATTATTTATCTCGGGAGCATCGTTGCTGATCTGGGGTCGGTCGGCGGCCTTCGGGTGTAAGTGGCGTGACCGAGACCCGCGCGACAGGTGTAGAAAAGACGAGCGCACGCCTGCGGAGCTCACGGTTCACGGCGCGCCGTTCACGGTTCACGGCCGGGCCGGGTTCAGCGCTCGCCGGCCACCCCAGGCTCGGCTGCCCGCTGCAGCGTCGTCACAGAACACAGCCTCATAGCGTCACAGTCACGGCCGGCGCCCGCCGGATTGGCGCACAAAGCTGCGCACCTGGTGCGATTTTGGCGCAGGCCGCCCACCGTATCCGGCCCACCTCGAGGCGACTCGGTGGTTCGTTATCAGCTCGGATATCCGAGTAATTGCCTGCTTGCTTTGTGTTTAGACCCACTCCGTCGTTCAATATCGGTCCGACCACAAACTGAGCGTGCCACTCGGTCTGATAGGCGGCAGTTCCACCCGCGTCGGCCGCCGGGTGTGGCCGCCCGGGGCTCGAGTCGCATCGCCGTAACGTGTCGACTGCGGCCATCTTATGTCATAACGCGGCAGGTAACGCCGCGTCAAGGGCCACTCCGTGAGGCCGTAACTGCCGGCGGCGGACCACACCGTCTGTCTGCTCAATTGCAGCTCGTTTCTGTGATGTTACTGCCCCATGGCCTCGGCCGGTGTCCTCCGATGAACTGCAGCGGCACGAGCAGACGAGGCCCAATGTCGCCCCTTGAGGCACTCCTGCCGCAGGCAGCGCAGGCGGCCGTCAGACCCCAAACCGTCACTGCTCGTGACGAGCCGCAGTCCAAAGGGCCATAGAACGCAGTGGCATTGTGGCTGAATCGTGGCAGTAACCCGAGCCGTGCCGTGACTCAGTGCATTAGTATGACGTTTCGCTCAGATCTGACAGAGATATACAGGTGGGTGGGTGGCGTCTTTCCCATTGCCGGTCGAAAACAGGATGTGTTTATGGACACGGTTGGCGTTTTTACAGAACGTAAAATGAAAAGACGATGGAGTTCGTCTGATCAGATTCCTCAATCACAATATTAGGACGTATGTATTAGACAAAAGATGGTGAATCATGATCACACATTTACGGCAGCTGTACTCAAGGCTCTACATACAATGCAGCACACTGAAGCGACGTTACCTTCCCCCTTCGTTCAATACGCATGGCAGCCACCTCACAGCGCAGCTCGGCTCAATGCGTGACTTTTATTTTCCGATCTGTGCCGCCTCAATGTCGGCAGTGGTAGTTGTGCTAATGGCGCCGCCGGCGGTCGGCTGTCGGCTGATTTTGGACCGCCGCGCCACGCGCTGACCCGGCTGGCGTGACGGTGCGTGCCGGCTGTCGACAGGCCGGCCCGACAGCGGTGGCTTTATATAGCCGGACCCCGAATGGCGCGGCCGACAGAGGCCAGAGAATTACGGCCGCCGGCGGACGACGGACGGATGGACGGACGGACGGACGGGACGAACGGACAGACGGTCAGACGGTCAGACGGACGAACAGACGGACGGACAGACGGTCAGACGGACAGATAGTCATACAGACAGACGGATATACGGACAGACGCTGAGACGAACAGACGGGCAGACGGGTACTGGGACTACAAGTAGGCTTACAGACGTATAGAGGACAGAGGGACTGATGGACGGGCAGCCGGACGCGATACGACAAAGGAACAGATGAATAAACGGATGGAGCGGATGGGCGGACGTCCGAACAAGGGACCCTAGTGAAAAAATCTTACAGGGTAGCCCTGTATGGTTGACCCTACAGGATTTTTGACGAAATTGTTACCAGGGTTCCTACAGGGTGTCGTACAGGGTACCGTGCACGGTGTCGTGCATGGTACCGTGCACGGTGTCGTACAGGGTACCGTACACGGTGTCGTACATGGTGTCGTACAGGGTGCCGTACACGGTGCCGTGCACGGTGTCGTACAGGGTGCCTTGCACGGTGTCGTACAGGGTACCGTGCACGGTGTCGTACAGGGTACCGTGCACGGTGTCGTACAGGATACCGTGCATGGTTTCGTACAGGGTACCGTGCACGGTGTCGTACAGGATACCGTGCACGGTGTCGTACAGGGTACCGTGCACGGTGTCGTACAGGGTATCGTAAAGGATCTCGTACAGGGCACCACACTCGCCATTCTATAAGTATTCCGCATCTTGTTATTGTGCTGAGCCGCTGTTGAAAACAGCGGCTCAGCACACCTCCGAATCGGGCATCTCCGACTCGGGCATCTTGAGCCGGTTGGCCAGGAATGCTAAAAAGACCCACGAGATCCCGCGTTACCGACAAAGTCAATATTCGGAATAAATGTATTTCTGGTATAAATACACAGCCATTTCCGGGTCACATCCCGTCACATTACGACACACGTCGTCGCGTCGCGGCTGCCGCTCCGTCCATCGATCTACGAATCTCGAGTGGTGGTGTCGCTCGACGATCCTCGCATCCTGCGTTCCTGTAACAAGGTGGATATTCACATGTTACAATGATAATATATTGATTGAAGGGACCCCTGCCGTCGAAAGTAACTAATCGGCATAAAAATGATACATACAACGCGATACAAAGTGATCGGCATACAACATTGTTTTGATGTTGTATCACAATATTGCATATCAATCTCCTATCAACCAAATACAACGCAAATTCAACGTGAAATAAATGCTGGATCGATGTCGAAAAACGGTTGATCCTCAATGTTGACAATCAACCTGGATTCAACCAATTTTTAATATTGAATTAATGTGTGCTACTATGTAGTAGCGTCGACGCTACTAATGCGCTCTGGTATCTGATAGTAGACATTTAAATGTCTATTTTTTCAGCTATTTTTTTCGATCAGCTATTTTTGAGTGAACGTTTCGGCGCCGTTTTTTTTTTTTTTTGGTCTGTAATGCTGCAAATATTTAGAACATTTTTTTATTGTTACACAGCAATACAGCATGGCAGAAACTTACCTTCAGGTCGGAAGAGGAGACGACAGATGACACCGCACGGCACACACTCGACACTTCCGTCGGCTCTCCGCACATCGCGAGCGGGCAGTGAATGGGACGGACGGAATGCGGCGGAGGGGGACGCGCGCTCCCCTCTCCGCCCCAGGCGAGGATCGGGACGCCCGCCGCCGCGCGTACGGTCTCTAAAACGGACAGTGGTCGCTAAATTCCAGTCGGTACAGTCTCTGAAAGATCACCACAGCGCACAAATACACACTTTAGTCCCCGAATAATACAGTACAGCAACGCGTCAAATTAAGATGATAATGTTATGAAAGGATTAGGGAGTTATGAAGTGAATCGATTCGTTTATAGGGATCAATTCACAATTCGTAATTCCCCATATATCCGGACAATGTTGACAACATTCGAATGTTTATGTCCCCGCCAGTTCTAATAATGAGCAGTACCGTCCTGAGGAGATGAATAAATCCCGGTAGGTTGCAGATTGAGAAAAATGTCCATTGTCCAACATATCAACGCACCGGGGCGAGGCATTTCTCCCTAGGTAGGTACTCCTCAGTCCTCATACTTTACTTGACAGGTGCATCGCTTACAACTCACCGTTCCATGCTTCTATCCTCAGGATACTGAAATCCTTCTCCTCCACACCGCCACCCCCCTCCGGGCTGGACAGGCAACTTTATCTCATGCGGGCTGCTCCCTTGGAGCGGCACCGCTGCTCCCGAGGGAGCGCACCCCGTAGCCGGGTGCAGTGAGTGCCTTGGGGCTGGGTGGCCTGTCTTCGGACGGGCTCAGCCCCGGCGACTCACTAGGGTGCCTGCCCAGACCAATGTCTCCCCCTACATCCTATCATCCTCCCGGCTCTGAAATGGTCTCATTTTGGACCGAAAGGGCCTAACCCAACAAAACAAAAAAAAAAAGTTTACAACTGTTCTCCACGTAGTCCGTGTGGAGCAAATGATCGCATTTGCTTGAGAGCTGTTAAAGGAAAAGGGCCACCTTTAACATGGGGATTGAAACTGAGATAGCCATCTTGTAGCCCGTGTCCGAAAACCTCTCTGTCAACCTCCTTACGGCCGATTTCGGCCTCCATTCGTAGTTATCGGCAATTTTAAAAGAAAATATGCCAGGAATGCGTTCTTATCCCAGGAATGCGTTCTTATCCGACAATACAGCCACCCGCGGCGAGGCTTTGGTTTTTAACCAATCAGCTTGCAGCAGTACTGATCAGGCACGGATCCCTGTACTAGCGAGCAGACCACGAGCAGTTGCGTTATTTTTCGTTGTCTGTTCTGGCAATCGGCCGGCGGATGAACATCCGCAATCGAATCTTGAAATCCGTCGCGCTGATTGGTGATGAGTTTCATGAGCTACTTTCATGAGGTCTATGAAAGTAAACCTATGCTATGCCCTGAACAGATGACATCTCGTTTGGTAGCCAATTGCTAAAATGCATTTTTATCTTACGCAAGGCAGTATACCATATTTTATACCGTGGCTCTGATCCGAAATCAGGGCATTTTTGTTCGAACAAATACCTATAATAACGATGAAGAAGTGCGTGATCCGCGGAGCAAACCTATATAGGTATCTATATAGGTAGGTAAACCTATATAGGTTTCTTATAGGTATCTTGGAGCAAACGACCTACGTCGGGTCGGGACTGATATGCGTGTGACTGTGCACAAGTAAGTACCTAGGTACCTAGGTAGGTACCTAAATTCTTATTTATTGCAATGGCTCTTCTATTACTTTTGTTTTCACAGAACTCTCCCCTGGATTAGCAAACCCTTTTGAACTGTTCAGGCTTTCACAACTGAAATGCCAGACTGGATAAAAAAAACTCAAGTTATGCCGAATATGTCATGCGAAGTGGCGTGATTGCGGCGTTGCCCCGAAAATTTCATCGCACATCCAGCATAATTTTGCATGCGTCAAATTCAGCGCATGGTGGCAGCTGAATTTTTAGGCGCAGGGTGACCGCATGGCGCATAATGTTTATGCAAATGGCTGTCTCCGAATTTTTTGACACGCTGTGGTCAATCTAGCAGCAGACTTGCCCTGCGGGCGCTGGCAGGTCTGAAGAGAGTCGGAACTTCCGGCCTGGGCCTTGTTTCACCTTAAGATTCTACAGTGTGCCACACAAATTGTGGTATTGGGTTTTCATGGGAACATTAACTAATTCAGACGCTCAGAAAGGGAAGAGCGTCTGACTCTGAGGCCCCGGAACGATCTGTCTGGTTGATGTAGCCTTGGTCGGTAGATATGCACATGTGCTTTATGTAAAAGTGGCTTAATTTTGGTGCAAACAGGCACCCAACTTTCAGTGGAAATCATGCACTGGAATTTCAGCTCAAAATTGCTTGCTTCAAATTTTGGCGCATGAGGGGCTCACGGGCATCCGGCGTAGTGTATGGATGTTTTCCAGTCTGGCTGAAAGGCAGAACTCAGACACATTTATCCAGCCCTTCAAATCCCATTTCCTGGTTGTGGTAACACCTACCTTTCCATGGGGGTTTGGTTCATCTCTTGTCTACACAGTTTTCTTTCACTTATGTGCTGACAAGAAAAGGAAACTCACCAGAGCCCAGTTTCACCAAGTGCGGTAAACTCAATTTGGGGTAAACTACCAAACTACCCCACTACTTAACTACAAAAACTACCCCAAAATTAAGTGTGTGTTGCATGGACTAAGCATGTGTTGACCCTTTTTTACTTTTAGGTTCCCGCTAAAAAAAGAAGTACAGAGAAAAGTGGATGAGGGTGTGTGGCATGACCAATGAGCCAAGACCACATGACCACTTAAACTTAACAAGAAGTGCGCACCATGATAAGCACAGTCAAAAACGTTTGCGTCTAAAGAACAGTGCTCTGCCGGATCAGAATGTAAGTTATTTTTTAAAAGTGATGAAAATGCCTGCAAAGTTATCAAAAGACTTTGAATATTGTTTTTGTAACACTTCACTCTAAAGTTATTCCTAGTACCAGACATTACAGCTTTAGTGCAGAGTCTTTATTTGTGATATTTTTAGCCAAAAATTATTACTAGTACCGAGCCCTTACAGCTTTACAGCCCTAGTACCTTGCCCTTATTTTTTATATTTTTTAGCCATTTCAACCTAACCGAATATCTGTATGTTTGTATGTTATTGTTTTGATCTGTATTTTATGCTACCTCCCTATAGGTAAGTTTTATCAAAACATGTGGTAACGGTGTGCTGATTTTTTACAGATTCCGTATACGCCTTGGGTTGCTGTCAGGGCCTCCTCTAAGGATTTTTCACTGGGTGGGCAAAATTTTCGCCACTTCCCCGCCCAAGGGCGGATCCAGCCACTTGTTTTGGGGTTCAACCAATTTCAAAACCTGTTACCGGGGGGGGGTGCGGGGATGAGACGAAATAAGCTGTGCCATTATTGGGAATAAGATGATAGTTAACGTTTGTCGTATGTTTTGTGGTTAGCGATGCTCGAGCGATTCGTTCCAGATTACATGTACAGCCCTCAGCAGACTGCGTGGTAGGTATTCTTTTTCCGACAAAACTGATTATAATTCAAAAGTCATGTTATCAGTCGGTCGAAGCTCACTGCAAATAGATGCGCCATGCTCCACTCCTTCGATAGGGCCTATCAATAAACAAAGCATACCTACGCCTTGTGTGGCAACAAAATGTTTAAGTTCGTTTTGGGGGCAAATATAAACTTTTGGGTTTTGTTGCCAAACTGGATGGAAAATGCATACGATGATAATGCCAATCTAAGCTGCGGAGTCTCGCGCATCTTTCTGTTACGATTTCCGAGCAGATTTCCGAGTGCCCGATAGCATAGTATTCGCGTTATTCTCGGTTTTGTCGAAAAAAAGGATACCTACCACGCAGTCTGCAGAGGGCTGTACTTGCAGCCCTCCGCAAAAACTGCGTGGTAGGTATTCTTATTTCGACAAAACCGATACCTAATATCTCAAAGGTTATGATAATCAGTCGGTCGGAACACATTGCATATAGATGCGCCATGCTCCACCCCTTCGATTAATTCAGTCACTGAACAATGTGTACTCTTACCGTAGCAAAAAAGCAAAAGTTTGTTTTGGGGGGAAATATAAACTTTTGTGTGTTGTTGTCAAACTAGATGGAAAATGTATACCAAAATAAGCCCAATCTAAGGTGCGGAGTCTCGCGCGTCTTGCTGTTACGATTTCCGAATGACCGTTAGCGTATTCGCGTTATTCTCGGTTTTGTCGAAAAAAAAAGATACCTACCACGCAGCTTGCAGAGGGTTGTACCTTTATTGTACGTGCCTTTTCACTTACGAGACAATTACTTGATAACTCCAATATCGGCAGGGGCGTGGCCAAGGGGAGGGGCCACGGGGGCAATGGCCCCCTCCCTTGAGCGCAGAAGGCGCCATGGGGGCCCCACAGGCCCCGGGATATTTTTTTTCTAACACTGGATAAAACGTATTTTACTCGGAAGCAAATTTATATCAATTCAAGTTTCATTTCTGTGGCCCTGGTTACCCGAGGTGCCCCTGATTACCCAATGGGCCCCTGCACTCATCCGAGGACCCCCGGTTTCCTGGGGCCTCTGGTCGCCCAGGGGGCCCCTGGTCGCTTGGGGGGAGCTAGTCGCCTGGGGGCCTCTGGTCACCTGGGGTTCTGGTCGCCTGGGCCCCTGCCCCCTGGTCGTCTGAAAGAACGTTTGTCACCTGCAGTGGCATAGCCAAGGAGGGGGCCAAAGGGACCATGGCCCCTCCTGGAAGCCAGGGGTCCTTATTCCATAGGGGCCCCTGACTGACACAGTGGGCCCTTGGCGACGCAAAGGCCCTGCGGCAGATCCTTTGACACAGCTGAGTAGTTATTCTTTGGCCAAGAGAGACCCAATTTTAGAGCCTTGGGACCCTATTGAAACCAGGGGGCCAGTTGGATGGGATGGGTCCAACTTGGGTCCAACGGTGTGTAAACAGAATCAATGCGTTCCGACTGTTGGTCTGACCCTATATCGGTTTGAGGGAGCTCAGATCGGATCCACTGTCGATCTGAGGGGCCCTTATCGGTTTGAGGAGGCCCTCAAAAGACCTGAACGGGCCCTTAGCTTGTCTGAGAGGGCCCTACGTCGGCCTGACTGGGCCTCTGCAAGTGCAAGGGGCCTTTTGTCGGTCTGAGTGGCCCTAGACGGCTTATATGACCCTCAGACGGCTTACGAGGCTCTCATGGGCTATAGGGGCCTGTGACGGTCTGAAGAACCCTCATCCGACCTACGGGTCCTCAGCATGGGTGGAGCTTTTCCGGGGAAGTTGGTGGGGCAAAAAGGCATCAAACCTACACTGCCCGACTGTCAAGTTGAATAAAATGAACACTGAATCAATTCCTGTCATTGCAAATGTAGGTACCTACCATTTTGCATAAGACAGACATTCCAAAGCTCCTCAATGATTTATTTGCAAAGCAACAAAGTCCTGCAAATCAGCTAGAGTTGGTGGGGCAAAACGCTTATTGGTTGGGCAAAATGGCAAGTTGGTGGGGCAGCCGCCCCACCAACTGTATAGGAAGCTCCGCCCCTGGTCCTCAGACCGCCATCAGAACCGGCTGGCGACTCTATGAAGCTATTCGTGGGCCTGTCTAACAGGGGCCCATATACTGCTTACCCCCTCAGTTCTAACATTGTTTGTTAATGAATATTTTTTCCATTTATTTGGGCCCCATCCAAAAAAATATTGGATGCAACCCGATGGCTTTTTGGATTTTGAGGGGGTTATCTTGCGCCCTTGTGCGTTTAGCCCCCTCCTTGAGGAAATCCTGGCTACGCTCCTGAATATCGAGCAACCAGAAAACTTTTTTTGACCTTCAAACAGCATCCAGTTTGCTTAAGACCGGAAAGGTAGTACCGGACGTCCGGCCGGACCTTTATTTTTGCATTTGCTTCTGGGTGGGCAAATCGACGCCACTGGGTGGGCAATTGTGGCGACTGGGTGGGCATTTGCCCACCCAGTGGGTATGTTAGAGGAGGCCCTGGTTGCTGTCGCTGCTCGGTCACCCACAGATGAAAGTGACCAAGAAATGGACATCACTCAGGTAAGATTCAAGCGTCCTTTATTTTACACATAATACACTAAGCAGTAGCACCCTAACCGCAACATATGGGAATGCATTGCCTGGTGGGTGCCTACTGCCTACCTGTATGCCAAGTTTCAGCTAAATCGTCCCAGTAATTACAGAGTTATTGAAATGGGAACAAATTCGGCACCTCTTCTTTTTGCATTTTGCACGTGCAGTGGAGGTCACTCACATAGATCAAGAGCATCCGACCTTTGGTTGAAGGGGTGCAGCTACCCTACAAAATTTACCGCAAGACCGCCCAAGCGGCTGCTGAGATGAGCCTCTCAAAATCACTTCTTTTGCAACTTTTGACAAATAACACCCTTGACTTTTCACGTGGCACGTGCCACGACGGTCCCTGTAATGTATCAAGAGTAGTCAATTACGGGGTAGAGGGAATAGGGCTAGCCAACAAAAAAAAAAAGACCGCAGGCCAATCGGTCCAGCGGTTGCTGAGATATAAGCCTCTCAAAAGCGTTACAGGCCGGGCCGGGTCGGGCCGCTCATACTGAGCTTTTTCCGTGATATTGAAAAGACTTCGCTTCGCTCGCTCGCTCGTAATTAACAATTCATGGTTGACTATATGGATTAAGCTAAGTGATTGCGCTCTATTAGCACACTATCTAAGTAGCCCTTAATTGCTGCCGGTGCGTGGACTGTGAAAGTGAGCCGAGTTGTGACGCAAACCGTGCGCCTTTTTCAGGTGTGGGATCACTCGTGGAAGTTCACGGCGGATACGGAGCCGTGCATGCAGCTCTGGTTCGATCCTGCTCAGGGAAGCCCCAATGACGCCGTGGCGCGCATCTGGGCTGAGCGGGTGGTGGCGGCCGGTGCGCGGGCGCTGCCGCGTGGCTGGTGGCCGCGGCCCTGGCGGCAGCGGCCCGCTCCTGACCCGGTCGCCCTGTGCCGAGCACAGAGCGCCGACTGAGGTCAGTCTTGTGATCGAGCTTCCGCGCCGGAGGTGGAACAGGTGGAGCTGGCGGTCACCTGCGCGGGCTCGGCGGCCTGTAAGCCGTGCCGAGACGAACCGCGACACTCTTGCTAGATCTGCACCCCATTGTAATCTTCTGTAGTCGATATTCGGTAGGTACTCAATGCTCATTTTTCTGATATTAGACGAGTGGCGGGTTTTGATGTTACATTGGAGACTGCTGTCTCGGGTGGCCCGACAGTGTTCGATTGTGGTGTAATGTAGATACATAGACGGGATGCCGCGGCTCGGATTCGTAGCTGGACTACCATGTGCCTGTCGATTGAGATGCTTTGCCTGGCGATTGAGATGATTCGGGGCGCGGCCCCACACTGACGCCATGGTGCAATGAGTGACTGGCGACAACTAAGCAATTATGTACTTTTGTAGAACACATGTTTTCATGGATACGAGAGGCAGTCCTTTTTTCGCTAGCAGTCATTTGGTTCACGATACTTTCGATACCGACAAATATGTTCGGGCGGCCGGTCCGTCCACAGCTAATGCGTGCTTGCCCGCCGATGCCTAACGGAGCGCTGTGCTGTCTACGCTCACTGGTCGCTGGCCCGAGAGCCGTTCGGTTGCTGCTGTTAAAACAGTTCTCACAAAAACACGCTGGCTGGCTGCCAGTTCTTCACCAATGAGAGGCCCAGTAGCATCAGCAGGTAGCATTGTTTAATATTACTATTCCATTTTGTTTACCCATATGTCCGACCTAGAGCCGACTGGTAAAAAGCGGCAACCGAGCAGCCCTCCGCAGCGCTGCAGATCATGTACGCTCGATTATACACAATATATGTGTCTTTCTTGCACACAGAGACATGACGTTTTGTAGAGCTTTTATATCGCTTGCGGCTGAAAGGAATATTGTACATTTTAGAGCTTTCATATACGCGAGAAAATATGGTGCAAAAAAACATTTATGAAGCCTGTTGAATTTTAAAGGTTGTTGGGGCATTTCACAGACTGTGTCGGTGGGCAGGGCAGCCCGGCCCCGGCCGCCGCCGCCGCCGCCGCCTCCTTCACTGGTATGTGGCAGGGACGGAAGCTTTGTATTGATATACCGGGGTGCAACTCAAGCAGCATATCACCTATCAAACAACCTTCGGTTATGAAGTGAATGAAAACTAAATATTATGTATAACTGTGGTCTGCGCTGCGGTGTTTCCAAAGTGGAGGAAGTAC